CTCCCCAGATCACGGTGTTACCTCCTGTGTGTCTCCCCAGATCACGGTTTTACCTCCCTCCTGTGTGTCTCCCCAGAAGCTTCACTCTATCCCCCCTCATTACCTCCTCAGGGACAAGGACACATGATTAGGGTGGAAACCAAGCGAAGAGTTATAAATTGAGTCAACCAGCACTGACAAGAGGAGGTGAACTAGACGCCCCCTTCTTTCCAAAGGTTTAAAAGTCAGAAGGCTGCTGGAATTGTGGAACACTATAATCCCAGCATTCAGGAGGCAGAGGAGGCAGGCGGACCTCTGTGAGTTTTGGACTCTGTCTCAAAACAACTCTAAAGAAACAAAAGTCTCAGAAGACTGAGAAGCGCACTTGAAAGGAGGGAAGGAAGAACAGGAGTCAAGACGAGACAAAGGCACTTCAAGCACGCGTGTGAAAACTGACTAACATCTCCTTGGGGACATTAGACTCCAGGAGGATGAGAAAGACACCAGGAAAGGAAAAAATGGGGACCTGCCTACTTACTGCTTGCTGTTGTTTGTTTGTTGTTTTTCCCCTTGCCTCTGGTTTCAAGGAGACCACACAGGGATCCTAGTTTCCCTAGGCCAGGTCCCCAGAGGGGTGGAAAGTGACAAGCCTGCAGGACGGGTCGAAAGCTCTGGAAGCCACAGATGAAAGCTTTCCTTGTGCTGTCCTGAAGAGCAGAGACTACTAGAGCAGCGTCCACACCATCCAGCACGACTGTGCCAGCCACGGTGGGCACCACACAGTCCCAGAGCGGGGGCCTCCAGCCCTGACCATCCAGCACGACTGCGCCAGCCACGGTGGGCACCACACAGTCCCGGAGCGGGGGGCCTCCAGCCCTGACCATCCAGCACGACTCCCTCCAAACCACCAAGGCCGTGTGGAGCCAGCTGCTGCCAGTTGCAGGATGTCTGCCACCTCTGCTTTACGAAGCCTCAGGGCAGCTCCCATAACCACTAGATCAATTTCAACTCCACTGGATCAATATTTATTGTCCCTGCTTGATGCCATGCCCTATGCTGGACACAGAGGACACAAAGGAAAGAGATACATGTCCTCTACCCTTAGGTATCTCGAAATCTAGAAGAGGAGAGAGCCATCAAAACAGACAGTCACAGACAGTGAGTCCTGGGACACAGAGAACACAAGGAACTATGGCAGCTCACAGAAGGACAAATAACTCCATGCAGGAAATCCAAGAAGGTTTCTCTGAGGGATGATTCATTTCTGCCCCAGTTTAAAAGCTGAAGACAGCGGAGGGGGTGGTGGTGCATGGCTGTAACCCCAGTCCTGGGAAGACTATGGCAGGAGAATCGTTAAGTTAAAAAAAAAAAAAAAAAAAGACTGAGAAGTTTTTTAAATGAAGAAGGGGAGCAGCACAGGAGAGGCCTCGAAACAGGCAAACGTGCATGAAAAGCAAAAGGTACAATATAGGTAAGCCAGGGGACCGGTGAGGTGGAGACGCCAGAGAGACAGACAGACAGACAGCACTGGGCTTCCTTTTTGATCAAGCTATGGGGCTGCTCAGCATATGGTATGTGTAGAAAATTCCTTAGAGGAAAGATCCCAAGGAACAGAGGGAAAAAGCTACCTCAAGCCCCACCCAAACAAAATGAATTCTTTTCCTACTATTTATGTGAGGCTTTTAGAAAGAGGATATTTTAAAAGGGGGATGTACTAAAATAAAACAACCCCAACAATATGCTCTAAGTGCCATGACTCAAAAGGAGTGTAAGTCACTCTGGTTTAATAGCAATCCGCATCCTCTTAGCACCCTCCTGGGAGCAGTGTCTCTGCCAGCTGACCAGAGCTCCCTGTGGGCATGCACCAGGTCCTGTTCATCCTTTCCACAAAAATTATTTTCCTGATCCTTTAAACCTAGTCCAAAGCCCATGGCTGGGGAGTTCATAGCCCCGGGTGAGGAAGCTACTGCCAGTGTTCTGTGAAATAAACAAGATGTCCTGCCACATTGCCTCCTAAGTAACTGTTTACACCAGGTATCACTGCTGCTGTCCACTTTGACCAGAGAAGCTTCTTTTTGCAGCGGTCAGCCCTGACTACAGAAACTCAGAACTAGCCAAAGCACTGAAAATGAATGATTACTGAATGCCCAGTCATGAAGGGGAAACCTATACGACCCCCTCCAAGGTTTAGGAAACTCATAGAAGAAAGGGTGGAAAGAATGGAAGAGTCAGAAGGGAGGTGGGGAGACATGTGAGATGTTGACTTCCAGGCATGATATGGTTGCTGCATTCCTGGAATCCCAGAAGCTGTGGTTACCCACATAAGACCAGGCCTGTCCACAGCTGTCATGGAAACACCCGCCTCCACACACACACACAGACTTACATACAGTCTGCTGATGGAAAAAGGAGAGACCATTTCTTCAGTAATGTAGCCACTAGTAAGGTACCCATGCTCCTGTAAATAAATTCTCACCCATGTTCCTGTAAGCTACTGTTATGAGACTCACTGAGTCACACACACATACCCTGAAAACAGAATGGGAATAGTAGAGGAAGTATGAACAAGAGGGTGATGATCCAGGGAAACAGAGTGGGGTGGGGTGCATATGAGTGAAATAAAGTATGTATATACATAAAAATGTCATAATAAAGCCACTGTTAAGGACAGGCATGGTGGCACACGCCTTTGATCCTAGTGCTCAGAGGCAGAGGAAGGCAGATCTCTGAGTTGAAAGCCAGCCTGGTCTACACAGTGAGTTCCAGGACAGCCGGGGTTATATAGAGAAACTGTCTCAAAAACAAAACCAAACAGAACAAAACAAAAAATACTGTTATATGTAATTAATACATGCTAACAAAAATATTAAGAAATTGTTTTCCTACCAATTTTAAATAAACAAGGCATCAATAGGGCATATTACATAATAGGTATCTGTTCATTAAACATTTCAAAGCTTCATGCTATCTGAAACACATACTCCATCCCCCCCCCCCCCCCCGAGACTGTTGGGCTATTCAAAGCCAAAGTTTCTTAACTTTTACAGAGTCTGATAAATGCTGAGGGCTGGGATGCACCTTAGTGGTAGAACAGTTGTCTACCATGTATAAGGTCCTAGCTTTGATCCATACCAATAATTCAGACAAAAGCTATGGACTCAGCTGGGCATGGTGTCTCGGGCCTGTAATTCCAACTCTCAGAAAAATTTGCATACAATATCTTTTTACATATAACTTCAGGATCTATCATGCTTACACAGATGAAAGTAATTTGCCCAGAATCACAACGCTTAAACATGGCAGAACTGAACCTGAACATGTTTCCTGTGGGGAGCCAGCCTGACACAGGTCTCAAGGGTGAATGTTCTTCTTATGAAATTCTTTGGTGGCAAGTTCAGCAGCTGTGAGGTCCCAACAGACCTTCTCTGCCTTAGAGAGGCAGCTGCAGGTATATAGTTGTATGGGAAAATTAAAATAAGCCAAAGAACAAAAGCTGTTGAAGATTCCCTAACCAGACCAATAAAATCTTCTCAATTTTACTGCCTACAGGAAGTCACAGACTCAAGACTCAAAGCCAAAGCCTCCTCACATGCAGAGAGGTTTGACCACCCACAGAAGCTTTCAAGCAGCAGGGCCAGAGAAACAGGTGAGATGACTGAATGATGTGTAGTAATGCTTCCTAGTCATCACTTACAATGACCCAAGGTTTGCATACATGTTTACATCTGCAAATACTCGAAAAACCAGCTACTAGGCTGAAAATAGCAATCCATCTCTCACTTGCCACATAGCATTCATTCAAGTAATGTTAATTAAAATTTTATTTTTATTTATTTATTTTTAAAAATTTTATTTTTAATTATTAAAATTTTATTTTAATTAACTAATTAAAATATTTTTATTAAAATAATCAATATTTTTAATTAATTAAAATAATTTGTATGTGTTTCTATTTTAATTTTTAATTATTTTAATATGCACACTTGCATGCACACATGACTGCAGGTACCAACAGAGACCTCAGGCATTGTATCCCCCTGGAGCTGGAGTTATAGGGAGTTATGAGTCAGCAGATATGGATTTTGGGAACCAAACTTGGGCCCCCTGCAAGAGTAGTACATGCTCTTTTTTTTTTTTCTTTTCTTTTCTTCCAGTTTTTAGAGAGAGGGTTTCTCTGTGTAGACCAGGCTGGCCTTAAACCACAGAGATCCACCGGCTTCTGCCTCCTGAGTGCTGGGATTAAACGTGTGTACCACCACACCTGGTGGCAGTACATGTTCTTAACTGTTGGGAAATCCCCAGCCCCTCAACTAATGCCACTTTCTAATTTCCACTCTGAGGTCTACACTGAACTAAGTACTAAGAAGATTTTTATCCCCAAAATATCGTAATAAAAACCTGAAAATTGGGGTTTTACTCTGTCTGGCTAAGGAGCAAGATCAGCAGCTGGCAGGACGTCTTCAGCCTGTATGATTTCAACTAAAACACCCAAGATGACGGAGGACTCTATATCCTCTACAGCTCTCGGGGCCGTGTGCACACGTGATCTTCGCATCTCTGCTCACAGAGGACTTGCCTCGCCTCTTACCTCTAGCACTTTCACCAAGTGTTTGTATCTGCCAATGCCATGAGTGGGCTTTGTCTTGTAGTGCCGACTGGCCCTCAGCAGAATACCACCTAAGAGAAAACAAGACAAAACCAGAGACAGACAGAGCAGATATATGAAGGTAGTTCTTGGTTATTCCCAGTTTTCCCTTTCTTTCTCTCCTTTTAGCTCCTGAAATATCTTCAGCCCCCCACTACTCAGCTTCCTTCGGGAAATTCTCTCTTGAAAAAAGTCAGTGGTGGTCAAGGAGACAAACACATTTTAGTGAGACTCATTTCTTCTTGTTCCTCAACAAGCAACATTCTTTGGACTTTTTTAATTCTTTGTTTGGTTGGTTTTGTTATTGTTGGTTTTTTTTGTTTTTTTGAGGGCAATGGCTCAGCAGGTAAGGGTGCTCTTGCCAAGCCAGATGACTGAGCTCCAACTCCAGGACCCACGTGTAGAAAGAGAGAATGACCCCTGAGAGCTGCCTTCTTTCTTCCAGATGTGCACACACACCACAGACCACAAATCCTCCATACCTGCACACATACCTCAGAGCATAATTAATTAAAGTTCTTTTTAAGACAGGGTCTCACTCTGTAGCCCAGGCTGGGACTCAGTATGTGGACCAAGCTGCCGTGAAGCTCACAGCGCTCCTCCTACCTCAGCTTCAAAGGGCTGAGATCACAGGCATGAGCCACCATGCCCAGACCTTTGGAGATTTTCTGATGGAGACTATGAAGAAAAAGAAGCAGGCAGCAAAGAAAGGATTAGGGATTTCTATAAACTCTTAAAATCATGCAGTATGGCCGGGCGGCGGCGGCGGTGTTGGCTCATGTCTTTAATTCCAACACTCAGGAGACAGAGCCAGGCAGAGCTCTGTGAGTTTGAGGCCAGCCTGGTCTACAGAGATCCAGGACAGGTACCAAAACTATACAGAGAAACTCTGTCTCAAAAAAAAAAACCAAAACGAAATGAAACAACAACAACAACAAAAAAAAAAACATGCAGTACTGCACACAGCTCAGCTGCTCACCACTTGCTTAATGCTCCCAATTCAAGTCTGGGCCCAGCTTCCACAAAACAAACAAAAAATGTGATTTGATTTATTTGTGTTTATAGCACAATAGTCAATATATTTTAAGTAAACACACCCACCCAAAAAAAATCTAGGTACAGGTATGTATGTGTGTATAGAGATATATATACACCATACATACCATTATTAAGAAAAAGCATGTGAGTTCGAGGCCAGAATGTTCTACAGAGCAAGTTCCAGGACAGGCTCCAAAGCTACACAGAGAAACCCTGTCTTGGAAAACAAAAACAAAAACAAAAAAAACAGAAAGAAAAAGAAAAAGCAGAGGGCTCCCTACACGTGCATATTGCAGTGGGCTCAGGAGGAAGACTTACTGCCCATATCTTGCTTGCAAACACACACGCATAGTTTTGTTGGTTTCTCTATCGTCTCTTTGAGTCATCATCCTGGCAGTGTGATAGTTGCTATTAACTGTCAACTTGACAGGACTAGAACCACCAAAAAGACAAGCTTCTGAGCAAGTCTGTGAGGAATTCTAGATTAGGTCAACTGAGGTGGTAAGACCCACCCTAAATGTGGGGGGTACCACTCCATGGCCGGGGGTGGAGGGCTACCCCAAAAAGAGGAGGCAGGCTGAGCGCCAGCATCACTTCTCTGCCTCCTGACTGTGTGACAGAGTGTCCAGACGATCTTGTTCCTGCCGCCATGCCAGGCTGTGTACCTTCCAACTGTGAGACGAGCAAACCCTTCCTTCCTTAAGTTGCTTCTTGTCAGGATCTGCTTGGAGCAGTGGAAAAACTAACTAATATGGTAGCTCACAAAATTAGGTGAAATGACCAAGTCATTCTACAAGTAGAATTATCACTTACACTTGGGTCTATCTGACTATGTAGTTCATGCTGATAACCACTAGGTAATAACACTTGAATTTCTATAATAATATGCTAAACATAGTAAAATATAATAACATAGACTTCACAGGCAAATAGGAGTTCATTAGAGAAAAAAAAGGAAGATGAGTGTATAGTTGAAGGAATAGCACATAGACACTAACATGGGGCACATGCAAGAGCAGAAAGGCTGTGAGTGTGGCTGACATGGAGTGGGTCCTGCCAAAGATATTACAGTAAGTTGGAGGGCTGAAACCAGCAAAGCTGGCCCTTGTCAGGGGTTTGGATCTCATCATGAACAGCAATAAAAAAAAATTATATTGATGCTATTTTTAAAAAAGATTTTATTTATATTTATTTTATGTGTATGAGTGTTTTGTCTCCATGTATGTATGTGCACCACATGCATGCAGTGCCTGCAGAGGCCAGAAGAGGGCATCAGATTCCCTTGGAACTGGAGCTACAGATGGTTGTGAGTCAACATATAGGTGCTGAAAACTGAACCCAGGTCCTCTGCAAAAGCAGCAAGAGCTCTTAACTTCTGATCCAGTACTCCAGCCCCCTGTGTTTGCTTTTATTTTTTTATTTTATTTTTAAAATAGTTTATTTTTATTTTATGTGCATTGGTGTTTTGCCTGCATGCGTGAGGGTGTTAGATCTTGGAGTTCCAGATAGTTGTGAGCTGCCATGTGGGTACTAGGAATTGAACTCAGGACTTCTGGAATAACAGTCAGTGCTCTTAACCACTGAGCCATCTCTCCAGCCCTCTGTTTCTTTTTAAATGATCACTTTGGTTGCTGTGTGGAGGGAGTGGGAAGGAGTACAGACAGAGCCATAGGTGACTAAATGTCACTAGGTGTCACTAGATATCAATGTTCCTGGTCTTCATCCTCACCCCCTTTCTCCACCCTCCACAGCTACAGAACAGTCCTTCTAAAACATTTAAAATTATTACTCTTTTTCAATAATTTGGCCATTTATCCTTTTTATTTTTAGAAGTATTCACTATCGGCCAGATACTATACAGTCAGCACTGAATGAGACAGAAAAGGGTTTTGCCATATTTTTCAATACTTGATGGCGTTTCACTACCCGAGGATGACACTTCTTAGCTAAGCATTTTAATGACCCTGACTTTATAATCCAGGTCCAATTACTTTATCTCATCTCCTATTCTATATGTTCTACTAAAGGTCTACAGAAGCTTTGTAGTTGCCATGTCTTTGGTGCATTGTGGGGCTGTCCCCTCATCTTGGTGACATTCTTTTGTGGCTCTAAACACACAAAAATCAAGAGATCAGCTTCAGAGTTAGAGCTCTCTCATGCCTGCCTGATTACATAATAAAACACTGTGTAAATTAAAAACCCAGATGTCAATCACCATGCTTAAGTATAGAGACAACTCAATCACCCCTCAGTGACTTCAAAAAGTAGACAGGAAAGTGATCTTTGAGATGATGATACAGTCCAAGTTGCAAGGGCTGCAAATGCTTGCCTCAGTCTCTCATCTGCGGGAATTCTTTGGCAAGGAGACAGTCTTAAATTCACTTTGGGACAATTCCTATAATTAGAGCTGCTGGTAATTAAAAAGCTGGCTCAAACTACTGTTAAATTAACCATTTCCCCCTTAAATGAGAGGTTTGGGTCAAACTGTCAGTGGTTAAGCTGTTTAATTAGACAGTTGTTTTTATTGTAAACTGTGTAAGTCTGAAAGCCTCTTAGTCCCAGGAAATTCAACTGGCTTCTTTCCCTCTGGTCTGTCACTAAAGCTGGATTTCCTGCTGTCTCACTAACAGCCCAGCCTCCTGGGAGGAAAGGCCACCCCTCACTGACGAGGACACCAAACCCCTTGTTTCAGATTAAAAATCATTTCGTTGTCACAGTTGTAAGATGTAAAAAGCCACACTGACGTCTCCCCTTTCCTCTGTCTGTGCCACCCCTAACTGTCCTTCAGAATTCCTGTTTACTAACAGGGGAACCAAACCTGTCAACCTAGGATCGGCGTCAACAACACTGGGCCGGGCGATGGTGGCACACATCTTTAATCTCAGCACTCAGAAGGCAGAGCCAGGTGGATCTCTGTGAGTTCGAGGCCAGCCTGGTCTACAGAGAGAGTTCCAGGACAGGCACCAAAACTACACAGGGTAACCATGTCTCAAAAAAAAAAAACAAAAACCAAAAAAAAAAAAAAAAAAAGAGTAAACAACTCTGTTTTAGTTCTTTCTCTTTAGAAATTGGAACAAGCGTTTTCAGCAGAGCTATGCAAGCAGAGAATGAGGACGAAACTGGAATAACACCAGCTGAGAATCTAATTACAGGATATTCTCTCTACTCAATAGACTCAAGTCCCTCAAGGACAGAGAAAATGCTAGCACCTGGCAAACAATATATGCTCAATGTATATTTAAAAAAACAAAATAAAACTGTTCTCCACATACTCTACCAAAGTGGTCTGCAAAGATTTGTTCCTGGTAGCTGCCCACATTGTTCTGTCAAAATATCTTTTTGTCCTCCCCTCAATGCTTCTTAGACCTGAATATACCACATTCCTTCTACCTTTTGCTCATGCTGTGGTCAAGAGTACTCTGAGCTCCGTTTATTTACTTCCTTTCTATATATTTACTTTGAACTACCATGTCCAAATAAATAAGAAAAAGATAGTGACCATAAGCAGGCCTTTCCTTGGACAGAGGCAGCTGAGATGGTACCCAAAGCCCATATATTAAGTAGGTAACTGAGGGCAGAAATGGGACACTGTTCCTTATTCTTCTAAACACCATTATAACGTAATTTTGAAACTGTATATAGCTTGGGTTGGCTGGAATTAGTATGTAACAAAGGATGACCTTGAATGTTTGATCCCACTGCCTCCATCTCCCAAGTGCTGGTATTATAGGTACACACCACCATACACCACCTACACCATACATCACTGGTTCATAAGATTTGTATGCTAAGCAAGCACTGTGCCAACTAAAATACATCTCCAGCTCCAAAATGGAAGACAGCATCATCATCATAATCATCATCATCTTGTCTGCCAGGTGTGATGACACAGACCTATAATTCCAGCACATAGGAGGCTGAGGCATAAGGAGCTCTTTCCGTTTAAGGCCAGCCTGGGCTACATAAGTTAAAAGGCCAGCCTTTGTCTCGGACAAATCTTAGGGTAGAGGAGAGCTCACTAAGCATGAAACAAAATTTAGAAATCAAAGACTAATAAATTTACCTGTATGAAAATGTAAAACTTTCAGTCATCAAAAAACAAAGTCATGGCACAGTTGACTGGAAAACACAGAAAGTATATGAAATAGAAAAATGTTAATTCTTCCATTAAAAGCTTTTACAGGGGCTAGAGAGATGACTCCACACTGGCTGCTCTCCAGAGGACTCAGATCCAATTCCTAGCCCCCACATGGCAGCTCATAACCATCTGTAACTCCAGTTCCAGGGAATCCAATGGCCCTCTTGGGAGTTCTTTCTCATTTTTCCTTAACACATCAATGCTTAGCAGGCTTTACAAAAAAAAAAAAAAAAAAAAAAAAAAAAAAAAAAAAAAAAAAGTTTTTTTAAAAAGTGCTGCAACCTTTTGAGTCTCCCTCCCTCCCTTCCTTCCTTCTTTCCTTCCTTCCTTTCTTCTGAGATAGGGTCTCACTATGCAGCCCTGGATGACCTAGAACTCTCTATTTAGATCAGGCTGGCTTCACAGTTGGAGCAACTCTTCTGCCTCTGCCTCTCAAGAGCTGAGATAACAGGTATGTGAGATCACACCAGTTGACCTTTTAAATTTTCTATACTTTGGAATCTTACAAGATAATTAATAAATTCACCTCCTGACAATTTTTCTCTTGATTTATTTAGTCTCCAACTTCTTAAAAGTTGGGCCCCAGAGGTCCAGTGGTGAGTTACAGTACTAACCAGGCCCTCTGCAGGAGTAGCACACACTCTTAACCATCTCTCCAGCCCCACAAGGACCATGTTCTCGAGATGGACAGTAGCTCTGTCAATAGAGCGTCGGTCTTGCATGCTCGAGGACTTAAGTCAGCTGCCTGGTGTCCTCATAAAAAATGAAGCACTAGTCAGGCGGCGGTGGTGGTGGTGGTGGTGGTGGCGGTGGTGGTGCACACCTTTAATCCCAGATCTCTGTGAGTTTGAGGCTAGCCTGGTCTACTTTGTTCCAGAACAGCGGAATAGCTAGAACTGTTACACAGAGAAACCCTCAAAAAACCAAAAATAAGAATAAAATAAAAATTAAAAACTAAAAAATGAAGCACTGCAGCACACTCTTGTAACCCCTGTGGTGGGGAGGGGGAAGAGAAGACAGGAGGGTCCCTGGGACTTGCTAACTGTTCAGCTGAAACCAGTGAGCTCCAGGTAAAATGAGATACTGTCTCAAAACTGTACAAAACTTGAGGGAAACAGTTAACGCCAACCTCTGGCATACACACCTGGTGCGCGTGTGTTCACACACACACACACACACACACACACACACACACACACACACAGAGAGAGAAGCTGGTATTTGGAGATACCTAGCTCTGGGTCCAGTACTGAAGCAGTGCCTATCCACTCTTGTAACCGTTCTAATTACTACCATACTTAAAGTCTCTTACATACTGTCTTGTACACTGAGTTTGTATTTGTTCTTTTCCTTATGCCTGTATCTCTGGTACTCATTAGTCACATGACAAACAGCTGTTGGGAGCACAAAGGTCCTTGTGCTCACAGATAGCACCAGGGAAACCAGGAATGTTAAACATGCAGAGTTGTTTTTTCAAGGGAAAAGATATATAGCCTGTTTTCTGCCCAGAAGACTGGGAATGGAGGTGGCTAACAGCCTAGGTGGTGACCCCTGCATCATCTGTAGGGCCTGGACACACCAAGCTCCCACAAGCCGGCTGGAGGTGGCTAATAACCCAGGTAACCTCTGAGCTATCTGTATGACTGAGACCACACCAGATCCTCCTTCCAGGCCCTTAAGATAACGCATGTAGAACCCATCTTCATGGAAGAAGTGCCATGTACTTTGAGAACATTTCAAAGTAATTATGCCTCGTGTGCACATGGGATTGTGTTACACCAGGAAACTTCTTTCCAAATTGCACTGTACTTATATATGCCTAAAATAAACTGTCCAGTGTCAGACTGCAGAAGTTTGAACCGACACTGGCTACTGAGTCATGTTAAAACAGAGTTCCTTCTTGCCTCACATGAATCATTACTCTGCCAGCCCTGATGGTCACACAAACAGCTCTGAACTGTGTCATGACAGATAATGCAAATGTATAAAGTAGTTGAGTTGACACAGACTAAGCGTAGCTGAGTTAATAAAATTGAATGGACACTCATTGTGGATGAAAGACTGAAAAAGCCCTAGCCTGGTTGAGTGTGTACTTGAAAAACAAGTTTGAGACAGTAGACGTGTTATAATAAGCAGAGAAGCTAGTTACTTAGAAAAAAATGTATATGTTTTATCTCATTGAATTTTCAAATACCTCATTACAATTTATAGTAGAATTATCCTCCTCATTTTTTTAAATTGAGGAAACCAAGCTCCAGAGAGATAGTCAAAGGTCATAAAATGTGCCAGACACAGGGTATGTCTTTAATCCTAACACCTGTAAGCCTGTGAAAGGTCATAGACTGTGCCAGACATGCATAGGGCATGCCTTTAATCCTAACACCTATAAGCCTGAGGGAGAAGACTCATTAACTTTAAGGCCAACCTAGATGACACAGTAAGGCTCTGTCTCAAAATAATAAATAAGCAAGTAAGTAGGTAGTAGTGATGCACACCTTTAATCTCAGCACTCAGGAGACAGAGGCAAGTGAATCTCTGAGTTCAAGGCCAACCTGGTCTACAGAGTGAGTTCCAGGACAGCCAGGACTACTACACAAAGAAACCTTGTCTCAAAACAAACAAAAACAAAAACAAACAAACAAGGAATTAATCACTGAAGAAGGAAATGGTAGAACTGGAAACCAAACTCACTGCAGGGCTCTTGCTGTAACTACTTCATGTTCTTGTCCATGGTTCTAGTCTATGAAGGGAAGGATCTGGGCCCTGCCACCCTCCTAAAAAATACATTTCACATTCTAGACAAAATTATTGCAAAGTGCTAGAGGGAAAATTCCAGAAAGTAGACCACACCAAGAAATAATCACTTACCTGCAGAACAAATGGGATTCTCTTCCAAAACTCTGAATCTAAAAAGAGAGAGAAAAAAAGTATGTTGAATATAATTAGACATTCACATATATTTGCAAAATTCCTATAGCCTATATGCTCTGTGTTAGGATATGCTAACAGTAGATACTTCCTTACTATCTCCTTCCACAAACATTATTAAGCACCTAATATATACCAGTTGAAGTGGTCCTGAGAATGCAAACTAAGTACAGTATCTCTCACAAGGTCTATTTGGGAATGGTAAATATAAGACATGAGACAGCACTGATCCAGAACAGAAACGTGTACAAGAGTCGAAAGAAGTGTGACCTCTTCAACCAGGGAGTTGGAAATAGGAAATGGAATCATTTAAACTGAGTTTTTTAAAACTAGGAACTAGAGGATGGAGAAATAGCTCAGAGGTTAAGAGTACTTGCTGCTTGTGCAAAGGACCCACGTTTAGTTCCCAGCACCCACATGGCAGCTCCCAACTGTCTGTAACTTCAGTTCCAGGAAATCCAATGCCCTGTTCTGGCCTCTCTGGACAAGAGATACATGATTTTTATATATTTATATATATATATATAGGCAAACCACTCATATACATAGAATGTTTTTAAAAAAAATCTTTCTCTGGGGGCTGGAGAGATGGCTCAGAGGTTAAGAGCACTGGCTAATATTCCAGAGGACCTGGGATCAATCCCCAGCACCCACATGGGAGCTAACAATTGTCTCTAACTCTAGTTCCAAGGGGATTTGATGCCCTCTACATGCTGGCAAAACACCCATAATATAAAATAAAAAATAAATAAATCTCAAAAAAAAAAAACTTCCTCTTCTGATCCCAGGTGCTTTTGGGAGCTTCAGGTTACTGTGTAGACATGGCCAAGTTCAAGAACCACACCACACACAGTCAATCCCCAAAATGGCACAGAAATGTCATCAAAAAACCCCAATCACAGCTGAGGGAGGGTGGGTAGGTGGGAGTGGCACATGCCTTTAATCCCAGCACTCGGGAGGCAGAAGCAGGTGGATCTCTGAGTTTAAGGCCAGCCTGGTCTACACAGCGAGTTCCAGGACAGCCAGGGATAGACAAGAGAGAGAAGTGGGGGGACAGAGAGAAAGAGAGAAAGAAAAAGAGACAGAGAGAGGGAGGGAGGGAGG